ATGTTTTGGTTGTCCCATGGTATCGTAAATGAATCTGGTTCTTGAATATTGGTTCTTGCATTCATATTCCACTCCCACCATTTGGTTTCATAAAAAATAACACCTCCACTTACAATTATTTTTTGTGTTGTTAGGTTAATTAGCCAATAGGATTTCGTACCCGGTTCGGAGCCAAGGTGTATAAGTGGTCTTGATCTTGCATCCAACTTCTTTAGATTCATAAGTTCAACTTTTGCGTATGCGAGACACCCAAATATACAAATGTTTTCTAAATTTAGTTTTATTTTCTTGAGTCTTTCGTATGGATTTTCATTAACGAGGACTTGTATGTACACACGATTTATCAAATTTATAGAGTGATTTAAAGCTTCTACCTACAAGTAGTTTATAACATTCATAGCCTTCATTATGCTTCTTGTCATATCCAAAAGTTTCTCGTTTCTTTATTCCACCACCCCGTTTTGTTGAGGTATGTATGGGGCGGTAAGATGGAGTTTTATACCATTTTGATCACAAAAATTGAGAAATTATTGTGAAGTGAATTCACCTCCCTGATCACTTCTAAAAATTTTCAAATACTTTCCTATTTCATTCTCCACGAAAGCTTTGAATTTTTTAAAGTTGTCAAATGCTTTACTCTTTCCTTTCATTAGATAAATTAACATGTATCGTGAGAAATCATCAATTGATGTGAAAATATACCTATTTCCTCCCATGATAGCTGGAGTAATTGGCCCACATAGATTGTCTTGCAGTAGATCTAATGGCTTATTTGCTTTGTACTTTGTCATGGTGGGGAAAGATTTCCTTATTTACTTTGAAATGTGGTAACCCTTTTACTAGACCTTTCTTTGACATTAATTTCATTCACTCGAAACTAATGTGCCCAAGTCTTGCATGCTATCACCATGTACTCTCGCTTAGTTTTGAGTGAAGGAAAATAGGAATTCCAATTGTCAATTTTACTTTGTAAAGACGATTTGGAGTTCGTTGAACCTTCATAAGCAAGCAATTGTTTTCATCGTGAATTTTAAGATAGTTATCTTTCATCCAAATTTCGCATCCGACTTCCATTGCTAGTCAATGGATAAGGATGTTAGTCTTAAGATCTAGTATGTAATAGATCTCCGTTATCAATGTTGTTTCCCCAACTTTCCTTGAAAGAGAATAACACATTTTCCTTTAATCTTCACACAAGGGATATCTCCAAATTTAACTTATCTAGTTATTCCTTCATTGAGCTCAGAAAAGAATGAACAATTTCCCGTCATGTGGTTACTTACCCCATTGTCGAGGTACCACACATCGTTTTCTTGTAAGTTATATCAAGATGGTACTACTTTTTCTTGATTCAAGAACACATGTTCACGAAGAAATACTGTTGCATCATGATCTTTGTTCTCGGTGAAATTTTCATATAGTAATTTTTGGATTTGTTTGGGACATTAAGATGCAAAATGTCCCAGTTTGTCACATCTATAACAAATAATTTTGGAATGGTCTTTTTTTCTCATTTATCATCATATCATTAGATGAACGAGAATCTTTGACATTAGAAGACCTTCTATTTTTATTTCCCATTCCTTTGCCATTTAAACCCTTCCATCGTCCCTTATTGTTATCTTGATTCTTCCGAATTTGTTGGTATTTCTTAGTGAATTTTTTATTGATTGTTATCTCCGAAATCATCATCTTTCAATCATTCTTCATAGGCTTATAGTCTTCCATCCACATCTTCCAATCTCGTGGTACTGAGATCTAATACTTTTTCGAGTGATGCAACAATATGTATGAACTTGGATCCTAGTAAAGTTTTAAGGAATTTCTTTACAAGTTTGGATTCTTCTACCGTTTCCACTAGTGATGCTATTTCCAGAAAACTTTACAACATAATCATCTATTGACTCAATATCCATCATCTTGAGCCTATCAAAATCAAACATGAGAGTTTGCAAGCGCACTTCTTGAACATGCATGTGCTGCTCCAACATGCGTTGCCTTGATTGCATCCAAAAGTTTCTTTGGTGTACCTTGATCGCTTGTTTGAATGATCAGTCTCTTCGGAATTGATTAGTTTAGCAATCCCATGGCCAATTTTTTTCGCAATGTTTGTGTTGGTTCCTGGGTCAATTACCTCCCATGCTTTGTGAATCCTTAGTACCGCCTTCATCCTCATACCCAAACTGTATAGTTTGTAGCTGTCAATGTCAGGTTGTGAACGGAGGTTACTCCAATTTCTATTGATGGCACTAGATTCGAGGTTTCATACGTCATGGTGATTACTTAAATCAGAAACTAAAAATACGAAATCAGAGAGCACTATTCAATGGAAAATCAAATAGAAAATAGTAGGACTGATCGATCGACTGTTGATAAATCAATTGTGCTTTGATTCAAACAATGGCTAATCAGTCGATGATTCCTATCAATTACTATTCAGTCGTTAATGGATTCAAATAAAAAAACAATCACTCAGCCGATGATGAAGTACACATAAAAAGAATGTTGTCACGAGGTTTTATGATCGTCACATGTGTATCGGTACGTGAACTACATAGAAAACCTTTTCTTTCGATAGGAACCTTTGCTCGACAAAAGGATTTTGTCGAGCACCTTAATCAGGAAATCTTACTCTCTCCTGATGATGCCTTGTTGCTTTCGCAGGCTTTTTATAAAGCTCTGAGACCAATTCAAATAAATAACATAATAAACAAATGGAAAACTCTCCAATTTATTGAGAAACTTAAACTCATTACTCAATTTGATTACATTAGATACATAACTCGTATTCTATGAATATATTTATAGTCCTAGACTACCAAACTTGTAGAATAAGACTAGGATCTCAAACATTAGCTCTTTTTACGTTTGTAACCTCCAACATGAAATCACATCAATTCGACAATGTATGGATGAAGGATACACTCCTAGAAAAACAACCTTTTACGATGCGCAATGTGTGTCGTAAATCGCTCAGATGATGCGCAAATGTGTGCCAAGGAAGGCCCTGTCATAACGAGAGACGACACACTTTTGCGCGTCGTCTATAGACGATGCACATTTACGACGCGCAGTTACGACACGCATTTATGACTCTCATTTACGACACGCAATGCATATCAAGGAAGGCCCTGTCATAAAGGAATACGACACACATTTGTGTGTCGTAACCTTACGACGCTCGTTTACAACACGCAATGCGTATCATTAAATCCCCTGTCATAAAGGAAGATGACACATATTTTTGCGTGTCATAATCTTAAATGTTTCAAGAATATATATATATATTTTTATAGGTTTACTAATTTTCAAATTAAAATAACATTTAATGTCTCATAATACAAAATAAAATATCATATATAAGAATCCAATCCATTGCACAAAATTACATGGCATACAAATAATCGTTGCAATAGTAATAAATGTAATATTAAGTGTGAAGGTGATGAAAATCATCAACAAATAATAGTAGAACCATAAGAACTTGGTCGCCACCTTCTCAAAATCTGAGCTACTTTGCTTGACACTATGCACATCAACAAGACCTGTAAATTTGAATCATGCGACCATTAGATTCACATATTGAGAATTCAAAGTATGCTATGTTATTTCTTACATTTAACCTTCTTATATGTAATAAGATGAAATGAAAGTAGGATGCTATAATAATCACTCATATACAGCTTAGTAGATTAAGACTAGTCCACCTTTAGTCTATTAAGTAAAATAAAAAAGAAACAAGACTTCAATTATAAGGATGAGTATAGGTTAGAAACCTCCACCGCCATAAATGCCTGAGTTCTGAAGCTTTCCCCTATATCCGAAACACAAATTGAATAAAAAAAACATCAAATTAAGTTGGCATCCGCATCAACCAAAAGATGAAAAATTATCTATTTATCATGCAATCAATTGCTAACTTGCTATATAAAATATATAAAATATTAAAAGAATGAGAGTTTTAACTAATAGTAAGAAAAAAAAAAACCAAAATGAGGTAATAAGATAAATATATGCAAGTGAAGCACCAAATAAGACACTTATCTTATAATTAAGATGAGAAAGTGGAAGTAAGATAGACCTCAAGAAGAAACAGTCTGATAGGCATCTGTAACCATGTAATCTAATGATCGCAATCTGCAAGTTGTAGACCAAATACTGGAATCATTAGAAGGGGATCACCATTGGAGGAAGTGGAAGAAGGGAGTGAGGAAGGCATCTGCAGTGAAGGAAGGAAGGGGTGTGATTCTTTTAATTTGGTTTTGGTCAACTACATGGACCATGACCCTATCACTATCTATGAGTGTTAGAACTCTGTGAGCGGCAGTTATGACAGTGCAAGTCAAGAATTCATTTAGAAAATGTTTTTTACATAATGTAAAAAAAAACCTCTTCATCAGATTGGGTTGCTTCTGATTGTCCATCCAAGTTTGCTTGATCACCAACAACAGCCTCCAAAGCCTCAATCAATGGATCTGGCTGCAACAAGACAAGGGTAAAATTGAAATTTCTATCATATTTTTATTGAAAAAATATTAAACTTGGAAGATAAATTACTATAATGTCCTTCAACGATAAGAATACATGTTCGAGTGAAAAATCTAATTGATGAACCGTTGCTTCAATGAACTAAAATTAAGAGATTTTAATTATTGAGAAAAGCATAAAAATATATAAAATAATCCAATTAATATTTAACACATTTATATTATACAACACGAATCACACCAGCCCAATTTTAAAATAAGAAATGGGGTCCAAAGTATCATCCCATGACACTTCAGTCTGGTGAATCAATGCAGATACTCCATCCACCTACAAGGGAAATTATGTCTTTTAATCATGGGCAAAAAATATTTTACTTTCGATAAGATAAAAAGAAAATTATAATAATACCTCAACGAAAAGTCCATACTAAGTAATCTTTTTTATGTAACACTTTGCAATGTCTCCAACGTTAAGCTTAATCCTACAAGAGTAGAAAATATTAAAATGATTTTCTATAGGATGGTATCTGTGGCTGAATCGATGGATGCAGTGGCTTCATCCAACACCAGGATTTTGTTTCTTCTGAGTAAAACTCTTCCAAGACAAAAGAGCTGTCTTTGCCCAGCACTCCAGTTCTCTCCTTCGTCACTCACTGTCAAATTAACATGATAAGTTTTGATTTACCAAAAACACAATCTCCATTCCTTCATCCTAAATAATACCTTAGAATCTTTATGTATTAGATTTTTTTGATATTCGTATAGTTAAGGTTGACGCACCTAAGGAATCCAGCAAATGTGGAAGATTCATGATAGTAGTTTTAAGTTGATACTTATCAATAAGGATCTGACCAATATCAGCTTCAACCAAATGGAATAAGGTTGTTATCAGTGTTGTATTCCCACTTCTAGTCCTTCGAAAATGCCTAAACTTCCCCCTTCTTCAAATGTACATCCGATACCTTTTAAAAAGGGCAGCAAGCAGTGATCTCAAATACACAAAAGGGCAGCAAGTGGTTGAGAGCAAATACACAAAAAAAGTTGTAACATCCCAAAAATACCACCCAAAAATTTTTGTTTGAAAACTTTACTAAACCATAATATCAACTATCAAAAAATAAAAACCATGAACCGTGTAGCTCAAAATGTCATAATAAATTTATCAAATCGATACAAGTGTCAAGATCATATCAAAATATCAGAGTTTGACTCCCAGGATAAACTGTGGTGTGTGCCATGCCATCAACCTGAGCCCTTCCCTTTGCTAGCTGAAGTACCTGAAATCAAACACTGAAACTGTAAGCACAAAGCTTAGTGAGTTCCCCCAAACTACCACATACCATACAATTACATATAAAGCAACTATTAGGCCTTGCCCACTACATTGGACCGAAGTCTGGAAACTGCATCAGACCGAAGTTCGGAACTAACTAGGGCCTTTCCCTCTGCATCGGACCGATGTCCGGAAATAACCTGGGCCTTACCCTCTGCATCGGACCAAAGTCTGGAAACTGCATTGGACCGAAGTCCGAAACTAACTAGGGCTTTGCCCTCTGCATCGGACCGAAGTCCGGAACTGACTGAACATAACATATCATAATCATAACTACTAGCATAAACACATATACTGCATAGTGCATCGGGTCGAAGTCCGAAACACATAACACAAAGACATGCTTGAGTCACAAAGACATCAAGCACATTGAACTACAACATCAGACCGAATTTCGGAACTACTGTTAACTAAACGGGTCGGCATTATGGCCGTAGACCTGTTCCTACTGGAAGGAAACTCACCTCGTAATGTTGGCTGCTAAGATGCTAAGTCTGAAACTGTCTGACTGCTGCTCTGGAACTCCTCGACTACAAATCCCATAAACACTAAATCAAATATTGATAACTAATCTCAGGGTAAAATGACTATTTTACCCCTTGTCAAGATCAACATCCTGGTCAAAGTGAACTTTCAGTTGACCAGACTCACTGAGTTGGGCCGCCAACTTGCTGAGTCCCTATCATTCTTTCTAATCCTCTACCCGCTTCTACTCGTCGAGTTTGGTAAAGACTCGACGAGTTCTTCTTCGATACTAACATCGAGTCTAACTTCATCCGACTCGCCGAGTTGTATGAACAACTCGTGGAGTCTGTTCTTGAGGCAAGAAGATTGTCTTGGACTCGTCGAATCCTAAGGACGACTCATCGAGTGTCATGCATGCCATTACTATACAATCGATTTTAGTGCATCCAATTCATAGATCTGGGCCTCTAAGGCTGGTTTTACACGTAAAGTTTCCAACTTTACGTTCTTGCACAATAGAATAGGGCTAAAACACCAAAATCATCCCACAATAAGCACTTAGGGTTCGGAACAAGGCTATATTTACATAAAGGTAGCTACATTGAGCGCTTAGAGCTCAATAACATCCAGATCTATGGTTTCCATCCTAAGGAGAGTTCAATTCTCGAGTTGAATCATATAAAGTTCCAAGAGAAACATAAACAAGCATCAAAGAGGGTTTAAATGGAAGAATGGGCAAGGTGATAACTTTATTACCAGAATATGTAGCAAATGGAAACTAGATTTTGGATCTCCTTTCTCTTCTATTGGTCTTCTTTCCTTCCTTCTCTTCTACAACTTTCAAACTAGCACACAACACTCAAGCTCGACAATGGGGACTAGGGTTTACAGAGAAATGCTATAGAGGTGCTGGAGGCTGGGTTGGGAAGCTATAATGACGTTTAAATTGGGTACAAACTTTAGGATTTAGGGTTTCATCTAGACTGGCGGAATTACCGAGTCTGGAATATGGACTCATCGAGACGCCCGCTAAAAACGCGTGTAGGTCCCGCCTCTACTTGAAGAGTCGGGCTGCTGACTCGTCGAGTACGTCTTAAGAAAGGAAAACACTATATTTAAATTACATACCAGAAATGTGGCGTTACAAAAATGATAGTGGTTGAGAGCAAAGTGTAAATGCCAATCAACATGATGTTACTGATTTTACGGATTTGAATACCAAATGCTAGCCAATAACTTGTTGTTGCCTGGAAGTGTTCTTAATGATTAATCCTCTTAATGTTACTGTTTTTAGTAGTTCATTTTTATTTTCAGATAGAAAAAGTTCTAAACCTGTAATGGCATCTTTATGAGCTTTCACAAGCTCTTCAAATGCAGTTCCTGCCATCAAGAGCTCCTCATAGTTTCCTGATTGTGTAACTTTATCGTCTTTCATAACCTTAAAAAGGAAAAAAGAATCAAATGCAAATGGTAAAATAGACTTAAAACCAATATATAAAGCCATCATGTGTAACTAAATTTATAAATTTTTTATTCTGATTACCAGAATATTGTCAATAGATGAGAGAAACTCCACTTCATGAGTGATAAGAATGATGGTTTTCTTCTTTAATATCCAAGGATCAAGGGAGTAGCTAAAAAGGACAAACTAATAACGTCCATTTGATTTCAACAAGTTGAAAACTTACATTAAAGAGAGTTGTTGTTGTATCTGCATATAAAGCACTGGAAGGGTCATCAAGAAGATATATGTCAACATCATTGTAAACTGCTCGAGCAAGTTGAATCCTCTGTTTATGTACCCCACTCATGTTAAGCCCTCTTTGTCCTATTTTTGTTAGATCTCCATGGTTAAAAGCTTCAATATCCTTATCCAAAGCACATGCCTTTATGGACTTTTCATATTTACTTCTCTCCATTGGCTTTCCATTCGATATGTTATCTTGAATTGTCCTACTTTGAATCCAAGATGTTTGAATAACATATGCAATTGACCCAAATACACCCACCTGAAAAGCAAAACAACGGTCATATAAATTACAATGATACTATAAAGAAAATAAAAAAATGAGTTTGTGAACTTACTGTTCCTAAAGTTTTGGATATTTCTCCAAGTATAGCATATAACAAAGATGACTTTCCAGTACCAACTGACCCACAAACTGCAACTTTTTGCCTATGCTTCACATCAAGATTTACATTTTGCAGAGTTGGAATATGTTAAAAAAAGACCTTGTATTGATGTATGCGTAGTGGAATCACAGTTTCTGGGCTTCTAACAGCATTTAGAACATGCAATGTTTTACTCATCTCCTGAATGCTCTCACGGTTAAATTGGCTGCCAAAGCCAACAGGATATCACTATTGTTAACAAAAATTAGAAAAACTTAAAACTTAAAACTTACAATCATAAGATTCAGCGACAAAAGGCCTATGTCATCAACCTTCACGATGATATGATCAACATTTTGCCCTAATTCCTCCGCAATAGCAGGTTCGCCTTCGATTCAAACTTCCGGAACGGTAGATATATTTTCCGACGTAAACAAAGCTCCAGTGACTGACCGTAGGTGTGTCATCGGTGATGGTCATCGTTGGAGAGAGAAGAAGGGTTTGGAAATAGGTGGGGGTTTTGTCATGTGAGATAATTACAGAAAAAGTAAAAGAAAACGGTAAAGGAAAATATACGTTATAAAATTTCCCGGCGTAGAAGAAACTTGGTGGAGAAGGAGAGACACGAAGGTGGAGGTGTCGATTAGGGGTTCTTCAACTGGTAGCTTCGATTGACGGTCGTAGTTGTCGATTGCCACTACAATTGAAAGGAGTTGCAGTCACTGAACCATTTAGTGTTAGGATCGATTTGGAAGGTGGGGGTTTAAAAAATTTTGGGATTTCATTTTCCCTCTAAGGAGACGCGTTTTACCTAAAACAAAAATATAAAACGTCATTCATAGAGGACACACAAATGCCCTTTGTGTTTTTAATTTTTTTACATAAGATACTAATTTAAGGGCACGCAATAATGCGTGACCTAAATCCTTAAATTTTTTGAAGAGATGACACTTTTTAATGCCAGCCTCTTTTACGTAAAAAGGTCTTTTTCTTGTAGTGATATTAGACATTATCTTCATGTTGGAGGTTACAAAAGTAAAAAATAGTTGATGACCTTACAAATAGGAACATATTTTTAGACCACATAACATATTTCCTATCAGTGAACATATTTTCTCACAATAGAGCATATTTTCAGACCATTATTCATTTTTTGTATATTGGACAGGCTGTGGCAAAACATTATAACTTCATGTATAAAGTTCAAAAAAATTGTCGTTTTTTCATTAGAAACTATACATCCGGAGCTTTTCAAACATATAATATACATAGTTTCTTGATTTCTATGTCGTTCCAGATTTCTCATTGAAGTTCATCCAAAAAATACTTTTTAGACCACCGATTATTATTTTTTGTAAGTTTAACACCTTGTGACTAAAACGTCATGAGTCCCTATATAAAACTCCAAAATACTTGTTTTTTTAGTGGAAACATCCTCCGTAGCTTTTCATGCATATAATATACACGTTTTTTTGACTTTTAAATCATTCTAGATTTCCCGTTGAAGTTTGTGTAAATAAATTAAGACAACTAAATATTTTTTTTGTATACTGGATATCCTGTGGAAAATTATCATAGTTCGCTCTACAAAAGTCCAAAAGACTTACCGTTTTTTGTGGAAATTACACATAGAGAGCATTATAAGCATACAATATGTATTTTTTGAGTTATGGATCATTCCAGATTTTACATTGAGATTGGTCCAAAAATATTTTTTCAAACCACCGAATATTTTTTTTATATACTACACATTCTGTGAAAAAAACGTCATAACTCCCTCTAAAAAACCCAGAAATACTTTATGTTTTTTTTTTCCATTGGAAACTATACATCTAAATCTTTCAATTACATGATTTTTTTTTACTTTTGGGTCGTCCATAGTTTGCGTAAAAGTTAGTCGAAAATTATTTTCAAACCGACAAACACTTTTTTGTACACTAGGCATCCTATGGCGGAATGTACACACCTATAAATTTTTCAAGCTTATAAGATATATGATTTTTTTTTTAATTTTGTATCATTCCAGACTTATTGTTGAAGTTGGTCCAATTTGTTTTTTAGATTAATAAACATTTTTTTAATACATTGGGCATCCCATGACAAAAACGTTGTAACTCTCTCTCTACAAAACTCCAAATGAGTTGCCAGTTTTTTATAGGAAACTAAACATCTATGTATTTACACACATATAAGATACCCTATTTGTTACATCCCGAAAATCAAGGTAAATTTTTTATTTTTGAAACCCAACCAAAATCCATAATTGCTTACAAAACATTGTTTCCAAAAGTAATAATCACAAATCAGAGTATCCCAAAATTCAGTATCATAAAACCAAAAGGATGTGTGCGATCACGCATTTGCTTTCTTGCAATCATCTGAATTACCTAAAACATAAAACTTAAACCGTAAGCCAAAGCTTAGTGAGTCCCCCCAAAGTACCACACACAACCAAAATACATAATGAAATTGATAAATGAGCCTTCATCAGGATTGGATTGTCTCGCAGTGCTTGCAACCTACATGGACTGTTCTAAGGGCCTTCGCCCTGATTGGACTACCTCGTAGGCCTTCAGTCTATTCGCACCGCCCCGGGTATCTTGGCCTTCAACACAAAGCAAGACTGCCTCAACCAAAAAACCACAACATGTCGACATATATAATAACAATCAATTACCAATAACACAATTAATCATATAGATCTATCAATCTAATGCATACTCAACATAACATCAATCTAATATACCATGATACAAAATCCAGTGAGCCAGCCTAGGTGCCTTCGACCGCAAGTATAGTTGTAACACCCTGTTTCAAGTAGTTTCGTAATTTGGGGAAATGACCTAAAGATCAAGTATCATAAAGCTTAATGCTTTAGGGAAGAGAGGTTTAGGCCCATTTGGATGTGGGTGATATTGATATGTGATCCAATAGTTCGGTTTGTGCTTTGGATTCAAAGGGTAAAATGCGAAAGTAGTGTTTTAGTCTTCTTTTATGAATTATGGATTTTAGTTCGATGTGTTTTAAGTCAAAAGTAATTAGATATGGTCTCCTCAATACCTTTCCATGGATATAAACTAGTTCGATATTTCATATAAAAACAACATATAAACTATAATAGGTATAGTTCATGAAATAAATGTACTATTTTACAAGTTCAGGTTACAATATAGAAACAAACAAATAAACTATGATAGGCATAGCTTATGAGACATATATACAATTTATTCCTTTCAAAATGAGTTTGCATTATTCTACACGTAACCGTCGATATAGCTTTGTGAGACATAATTCAATCCCAGTCCTGAAATTATAACCAGAGTCTTAGGGAGGGAGAGCGTGACACTTGTGTATAGATCTATATGGAACAAACAATCCCGCACTTAAGCTGTTTGCAATAGCTAGGCCGGCAGGCCTAAGGTGACAAATTTCATACCGATTACGACGCCTGGAGAACGTCGGGTTCAGGCATTCCGATGTCGTCAAGCATGTTATGATAACTCACAATTTGGTATTGCACAATACGATTAATGTATGAATAAGTAAATGAATTCACTTAGTTTTATTTTAAATAAAACTATTATACATTATTTATACAGTACAACCGGTGAATCCATGCACTTACAGTTACAGGGTTTTTATACAAGTATAAACACATAATACTATACTAGTATAGAGAAAACATACATTTCAGGGTTTTATGTGAATTAAAACTGCATTATATTATTTAGAGTACAATATCAACTATACATTTCAGTCTTAGGGTATTAAGACTACAAAACATTTACAACAGAAAATATAGGATTTTCTAGGCAGAACAAACTTACGTTTTCAAGGAACAAATGACAAATTTTCAATTACAATCATGCTTATGAACTCACCAACTTAATTGTTGACACTCTTTTCAAAACTACTTGTATTCTTAGGAAAACAATAAGCAAGTATCCACAGTTTTTGAGAAGACGGAGCTTCATAGACTCATGTCTTTTAAACTTTTGATATACATTTTGTTGTCATGTATACAATGATTTTGAACACAAATGTAAAACCTATACTTTATCAATACACTGTTGTACTTTGATTTCTATTATGTAATTGTTGTGATACTGAACATGAAGCCATCCACCCCCGAACGCTTCCGCTGTTCTGGTTTGGGGGTGTGACACTAACAGATAATAAGACAAGAGGTAATATAATGAATCATAGGAAACTTAGAATTTATGAATCATAAAATTTCTAGAAAGTTTCCAAAAGATTTTATTATGTTTACCACAAAATTTGTGATCTCATCAATATCAAGTTGACATTTTCAAAAATCACATGTGTTCTTAGGATGGAGTAAAGATAAAGTGAAGGAAGGATTATCAGCTCGAAGACATATAGACTTCATTGAATAGAAAGTTATGGTTTATACTATGTGATTTGGGTAATCTATGTACTGTCATCCCTCGACATTTCCGCCAGCGTCCGGGGAAGGTGTGGCATTTCTTAAGTTCATGGAAGGAATCTTCATGTTCTTCACATCACTCAAATCTCTTGTTCTTCTTCAAGATGTTATAGAACGGTTTGCACCTCTATGAGGATCTCGATATGAACCTATTTTGAGCTTGCACTCTTCTTATCAAGCGTTGGATATCCTTGGTTGAAGTTGAGGATTTTAGATCGATGATGGCTTTGATCTGCTCCGGGCATGCTTTTATTCCCCTCTTAGTGACCATACAGATGAGGAACTTGCCCCACTTCATTCCAAAGTTCCATTTTGATGGATTTAGTTTCATGTTGAATTCATCAAATATGTTGAAGGCTTCTTCAAGATCCCTAAGGTGTTATTCGGATCTTTTTTATTTTATCAGCATGTCATCAATGTATACTTCCATGGAGTCCCCCAGTTTGTCATTGAGCATCCTATTTATCAATGTATACTTATGGGTGTTACGAAGGCAGTATCCACTTGATCAGATGATTCCATTTGTATTTGTTGGAACCTAGCTGAGGCATCCATGAATGTTAGCAATTATGGCCTACTGTGGCATCTATCATAGAGTCAATGTGTTGTAAAGGGAAAGGATCCTTAGGTTAAGCCTTGTTAAGATCTTTGTAGTCCACACATACTCTCCATTTACTGTTCTTCTTTTGTACTACCACCATGTTGGCCAGCCACCTTGGGAATTTGACTTCTTTGATCATTCATATCATAAGAAGTTTTTTTAATTTCCACTTGAATGATTTGATTCCTCTGAGGTGCAAACTTCCTTCTTTTTTATGTATAGTTCTGAAAAACATATATGTATTAATTTTATGCATCATAATTTATCTATTTATACTTGTCATACAGTCATGTTTTCATCCAAATGTCTTTATTCTATCTTTTAAAAACTTCACTAGGTATTGCTCGGTTTCTTCATGTATTGATGATCCTATAAGTACTTAAGCATAAATATCTAGGGCCTAGCTAATATCACATTGTAGAAAGATAGAGC